CGTGAAGTTAGAAGTCAAATTACATCTGGTCGAACCTTTACAGTAAACTTTGACGAAGGAAAGAACAAAGAAGGCTTCATGGGTGTACTTGCTGCCATACAAGACGGAAATAAGAAAGGATACAATCTCAGACTAACCGTAACAGATTTGGATGGTCACATTTACTATGCACATGGCAATGTCACAACAGCCGCACAACTTCTTGACGCTTTCAAGACTACAAAGAGAGAACAAATGGTTGACTCCGACTCAGACATTTTGAATGCAATTGAAGGAATTGCAAGTGTCAAGTTCGAATGGTACCAACCTAACCCTCAAGCAGTCAGACAACATGCTGGATACTTCCCGTTCATAAATAAGTCTGACATTGACTTGACAAGGTATGGAATTTACAATTCAATTGAAACAATTGTCAATGAACCTTGTATTCTTACATGTCTCAGGAACTCTGGTCTTGTTACAGATGAGAAGATGAAGTATCTTGAGTCATGTGTGAAGACAAGGTACATCTCAGAGGTCAATTGGCAAAAATTGCACCGTTGGCAAATGTCAATATCCGAGTCAACATTCCTACAGCTAAAGGTTCTTCACATGACGACTATGTTGTTGACAAAGACTTACCATGGTTGAAGATTGTAATTGTCCACAACCACTTCATGTTGAACGAAAGTCTTACAAACCCATTGTTCGGAAAAGGCAAGTGCAACATTGTCAGAGCTGTAAACATTCTTTTCGAGAAAGGTTTGTTGGAACCAATTCCAGATGACAAGCTGACAGAAACTTTTGTACCAAAAGACGAAACAAACTTTTCACTGTTAGCAAGACCAAAAGTTGTTCCAGACAAAGTTCTAGTACAAAAGAAGTACACAATTCCACAAGGAGTTGGATTGTTCGGATACCAACCTGAACCAGAAGAACTTCCAATGAGGTTGCAAGAACTTCAAGATGCTATAAACAAACTTCCATTGAGACATCCAATTGACGTCAAATTGTATTGGAGAGCATCTGAGTTAGGTCAGAAGGTTTTATATGAAACAGGTTGCTTCGACGATGTTTATGAGATAACAGGAGAAGTTTCTCAGAAGATAAGAGACTCACTTGAATTTCCACAAACTGGACCATTGGATGCGACAAGTTCGACTCAGATGAAAAATATACTATGTCGACCTTAACGCTGCGTACATGAGGTTCGTCCAATATATCCCGACTGGAATTCCAAACGAAGATGGTGAGTTCCCAGGAAGGAACTATACAGTTGGAAAAGTCATACAACAACTGTATGATATTAGGAAAGCTTCAAACCCCAAACTTGCAATGACACTCAAATTGCTTATGAATTCGACATGGGGATATTCCATTAAGAAACCTCAAGAGATGAAGAGTAAACATTATGAGAAGGTCGACAACTTTGTTGAAAGGTTTTCTCCTTTTGTTTTGAAATACGAATTCACTCAAGGTCAAAGTGGCTTAGTAACCACATTAAAACCTATTGTCGAACATTGGTCTACCCTCAGTTCGCAAAGGCAGTCCTTGACAACTACAACAAATTCTTCTCCGAAGTCAAATCCAAAGTGGTTTACTATGAGAACATCGATGCACTCATGAGAACGAAGAAGGCTATAACAAACTCATTGAAATGGGCATGGTCGGTGAAAAGATGGGTCAATTCAAATTGGACAAAATTTTCACCGAAGTTCATGTCCTCTCCAAGCGTAAGTACTGGGGTGTTAAAGAAGATGGTGAAATAAAACATTGCATGAAGTAAAAAATTTTTATTCGAATTTGAATCGGACAGGTCGAGTTACACCATTCTTGGTCTCAAACTCATATATAACCTGTTTGTTTGTATTTTCGTCGACTATGGCACGAGACACAAACATTGACCAAACGGACAAAAAGTGTCATTTCAGATGGTCACGCAGCCAATCGCATTCGAGCACTTCGAAGAAGCCTTACGTTCCAAGGGAGAGGGTGTCTGGTGCAAGGCAGAGGTCATGAAACTCTACGAGCAGTACATCCTCAATGCCTGGGAGGACAAATCGTCCTTGGATTGGCAATTCTACCAACTCCTCTGGGACGACCTCCTAGCAACTGGGATGACGAAAGAGTCCAATTCAGGGTCAGGAACTACTTGTCCAAATTCCTTAATTTAAGCTACTTAACTAAATAAACACCTAAATTTACTCGGGGTTTCCCCCTAAAATAAAATTTTTTTACTCTTAGAACCACTCGAGGTTCTCCTTACGGTTGTTGAGCTTGTCACCGTCAATGTGTCTGACCTTCGTCTTCTTGCTGGATTTGGAACCCATTGAATTGCGACAAGCTTGCCCATGGAGATTGAACCGCGATTCCGAAGGTTAAGGTTCAAGTGTCCCAAGTTGTTGAGGACTGGGGTAAGAACCTTGCCTGTCTCCTTGTTGCGGATTTTGTATGGGTAGGGTTGGGAAATTTCGTAACTGTCATCGGCAACAAGGGTTGCCCAAACTTCCTTTTCTTCGTGTTTCTCTTCTTCTTCCTCTTCTTCTTCGTGTTTCTCTTCTTCCTCGAAAATTCCTTCTTCAATTTGGTACTCACGAATTACGGTGTTGGAGGTTCTGTCCTTTCCGAGTACCTTCCAGATGGCGTCTATCTCTTCGAAGAAACGGTAGATGAGTCTGGCAAGGTCTCGGTTCTCTCTCGCGTAAATGCGCAAGGTTTCCGTTAAATCATTCAGGCATTTCTCATTGGAAGCTTGGTTCATGAGGACATCGGCTTTAAGTCCCTTCATCTCTTCCATAAGACTACTTTGGAGAGTCTTAACGGTGTTTGTCAGATGAGCTTTCAAATTCAAAATTTGAATTTGAACTGGGCGCTTGTCTGGCAACATTGAAAGGACATCTGCCATTGTGTTCGGCTTCGGTGCTTGTTCGGACATCGAAAAAATGAAGTGGTTTGAGAATGACGGTTTTACTTCAAAAAGCTTGTTATGACGTTAAGTCATACAACAAGTTTAAAATAATATCTTGTTCTTCTTCTGAACGTTTGTTGTCTCTTCCGATAAAAGTTTCGAACATGAGAACCAAAAAACGTTTTTTGAGATTGCGGAAGAGTTCAGGCAAACGTTCATATTCTGGATATGTTGGGAGCAGTTCAAACATCTGAGCTGACTTTCGGACAAAATTGGGACAATGTCAGAAAATTCATCTTTGGTCGGACTGCTTGAAGGTAAGTCCCTTACATGTAAGTAGCTCTGGTAAAGTCTTCTCATTTCTGCTAACTTTTGGAGTATAGCTTCGTAGTTTAGAAGTTTTAATTTTAATTGTCTTATTCCACTCTTGACATCTAAACGGTAACTATCCATGAGGTCAAGAGTAGCTTTGGTAGCTTTAAGTGGAGCTATCTGTTCTTGACTTGTGCAATTTTGGTTGCAATTGTGGTTTGAGCTCCTTCAAGTTCGCCGTCTATGTCGTTCTCAACGTCTTCAACCATAGCTTGAAACTCTTCATCGGTCCATTGAGATTGGTGTGGGACGAATTTAACTTGCTTCATTCAAAAAATGAAAAAAATGTTTTTACTCAAAGCGTGCCATGTATATGGCTATAAGAAACTTACCAGAAGGCTTCTTCTTCACATGAGTCTTTGGCAACTTGAGTGTTGGTGTTGGAGTTGGGTCTGGAATTTCAATTCTCTCTCGAGCGCAACAACAGATGTCAGAATAACATTCCCCACTGTCTTTCTTGCCACCATAAATTGTGTATTGACCGAACTTGCATTTGCAGGAAGACCGGTCAATACAAGGTTCACAGTTGACATATGTGTACACATACCTGTTGAGTACGAGTGTGAGTAAAAACATAAAAAAGTGAAGTTAAAATGAGATGTTTACTGTAAAGGTACGATGTCGCCCTCTGTGTTTATGAAGAACGCCCGACCCGAGAAGTGTAAGAGTCCTCTGAGAATTTGGGCAATTCGTACAGTTGGGTTCTCTCTGTTTGGAAGTAGTATCCAAGGACGCTTGGCAAAGAACTTCAAGAGGACTTCTTTCTTCATCTCTTTTATGTCGTCGAAAGGAGTGTTTTCTGGTATTTGCAGGACAATTCCAGTGTCAATTTCAATTTTAAGCGCACTTCTTCCAGACACCCAGCCTGCAATGGTCTTGTTTGACTTCAGATGGCTCAGGTAGTTCCTAACTAGCTCATTTATCTCTATAAGGTAGATTGCCTCATCTGCTGGGTCTATGTCGGTCATTGTTTCAAGACGAGTCTTTTACTTTTTTCAAGACGAGTCTTTTTACTTTTTCAAGACGAGTCTTTTACTTTTTCAAGACGAGTCTTTTACTTTTTCAAGACAAGTCTTTTACTTTTTCAAGACAAGTCTTTTACTTTTTCAAGACAAGACCGCGTTATTTTCAAGAAATTTTTTGGTGTAAAGTTCTCAAATTTGAGAACAGTGGTCTTGATTTCAGACGATACCCGTACTTTTTCAAGACAAGTCTTTTACTTTTTCAAGACAAGTCTTTTACTTTTTCAAGACAAGTCTTTTACTTTTTCAAGACAAGTCTTTTACTTTTTCAAGACAAGTCTTTTATTGTTTCAAGACAAGTCTTTATTGTTTCAAGACAAGTCTTTTATTGTTTCAAGACATGTCGACGTACCACCAACCGAGCCCATATCCCAACCAGAGGAACCTAAAGCACCAGCCCTGCACCTCAGCAACCTCAGTTCCAACAAGTACCTCAGTTCCAACATGTACTCCGAATTACTACCTCAATTTCCAAATTACTACCAAATACCTCTCAAGGCTTCCCGAACTACTCTCCTCAGCCTATGCCTTACTGCCCCTAACCCTTGGATGTTCATGTCAAACCTCCACCCCAATTCCAATTCCAATCTCAATCCAAGAAGAGACCAAGAGTTCGAAGAAGGTCTGAACCGTTTACGCAAAGAGTATGCCACAGCCCCTAATGGAAGACGACAGGCTTTTCATCTCTTCCCTAAGGTCGACCAATTCGACTCGTACCAACAGATTCGGTTCGTGACCGTGACGACTACCTCAAGCAGTCTGAGAGACTCTTCATCCTACAACCATTTACAGTTGGAGCTCTCAAGAACATGCGCAATTACGAAGGTCAGACACCAGCTGGAGACCGTAAAACAGACGTACTCGCAAGAGCAGTCCAACTGGTCAAGACAAAGACCGAGATAGTCGACTTCATTCTTGCAGCTTGCCCATACAAGTAAAAAAATAAACAATTACGAGTTAAACTTTTTATTCTTTCTTTTCTGAGTTGTTTAGAGCTGGTTTCTCTTGTAGGAACCTTTCGTACTCTTCCATGGTCATGTAATTGCGAATTTGGTACGCAATTCCAGGTTCGTTGTTTTTGAACCTTACGTATGTAACGCTTCCATCCTCCTCAGGGAAGTAAGCTGCTAACATCTGACCAAGTTTTCTCGGTGACTCGGAGCTCATAAAAATGTCACTTTTTTAAACCTTAAGTTTTTAGTCTTATTTTACCCTTTGTTTACCCTTTGTTTGTCAATGTAGTATTGGAGTGCAATTTTCTCCAAATTCTCTGTGTCGGAGTTCTTCAGCATTTTCCAAGGTGTGCCTGGAGAACTCAAAGAAGTTGTCAAGAACATACTGCCATGCTGCTCTTCTGAGTTCGTCGGTATTTTGGAAGTGTTGCACCTTCGAGTCTTCGGACATGAAAAATAACACTTTTTCTATTAAACCGTTTTGGCATTTCTCATGAGTGAGTATAGTTCTGCCGAACCATTGGAAGAGAAGAAGTACCCTTGCTGGCAAAAGACAAAAATAGTTGCCTTAGTTGTCATTGCAATTGTACTCGTAATTGAATTCATTGTACTTCTCTTCACGTACATAAAACTCAGCAATGGTATTTGCTTTAAGAAGCTACCATCTTACTAAGACTAAACACTTACATTTTTCAAGCTTGACTTTTTACAATTTGAATTTTGTTGCTGAATTCAGCAAAAAAATGTTTATGTTAGAATGTTAGATCTAACATGTTTTCTAACACGTTTTCTAACATGGTCTAAAACTCTTGAATTTTCCATGAAATTTACACCAAAAATATAATTTATGTTAGAATGTTAGATCTAACATGTTTTCTAACACGTTTTCTAACATGGTCTAAAACTCTTGAATTTTCATGAATTTTCCCGAAATAAAAAATAAATTAGTTTTATTTTTTATTTTATTTATTTTTTTTATTTTGTATAAAAGACATGATTTCAACAATCGGCACAACAACAATTCAAACAACTACAGCACCAAACTCGCTAGTTATGAATCCAACATCTATGTTAGTAGAGATGAAAAACTTCATTCCTTCTTCATATACTTTCGAAACAAAAATCCAGAAGATAAAGCAAGAACTTTTAACAAGTAATTTAGACTGTAGTGCGAAAGATGAAACAAATGAACAGTATCTTTATGAAATGCAGGACATTATTGACCATTTACCCCAAATTGCCTGAAATCCAACAACAAAAACTAACCATTCCCGAATTTGACGAAATAGAAGTCAAAGCAACTGACTCAGTAGAAATAAAGAAGTTCATACGAAAGGTAAATTATGAATTCCTTGGTTTTCATTGCAACCATAAGGTTATGGACAAAGATTGCGACATGGTATATAAGAACATCTCTGACCTTTACAAATCCGAAGAATTTAAGACCTACGACAACTTTGTTTCATTAGTTGCAAAATGTGTTTGGGAAATAAGAGATAAAGATAGTAGGGGTAAGGTATGGAACGAACAAATAAGACCCGCTATGTTCGAGATGAAGAAAACCATTGACGCCTTAGTTGTTTTTAGCAGGTAAGGTTTCAGAATATAACGCAAAAATGAAACCCGCAATGTTCAAAATGTAAAGCAGCAATGAGGAAATATAACTACTCCGTCAAAGAGATAGAACGTATGCGAAACGACTATGCAGATTTAAAGAAAGAAGCAGAAAAACCAGCAGAAGATAAAATGAACATGTTAGAATTTCTGAACAAAAACTATCCAACTGCTGACGATTTCCTTCTATCTGACGTCAAGAAGAAGTATAAAGAAACTTTCGGTATCGTTAAAACTTTTGACATACTGACAGAAGAAATAGAAGCTACGAAATTGTTTAGAGTCATGAACCATCGCAACATATACCATGTAAAACGCTTGTAAATAGTTATGTTAGAAAACATGTTAGAAAACATGTTAGATCTAACATTCTAACATAAACATTATTTTTGCTGAATTCCGTATGAAATTTCATGAGTTTTGTATGTTTTAGACCATGTTAGAAAACATGTTAGAAAACATGTTAGATCTAACATTCTAACATAAACATTATTTTTATTGAATTCCGTATGAAATTTCATGAATTTCCTCATATGCTTGCTTCCCTCGGAGAACCGAGAGAAGAGATTCCGTATGAAAATCGTGAAATTTCTCTAGACCGGATTTTATCGGTCTAGCCTAAAACTCTATGAAAATCGTGAAAAATAACAGAGTATTTTGACAACTTCAAACAAGCAGAGTAAATGAACTCTTTATTTTTCAAGCTTGACTTTTTACAATTTGAACTTTGTTCGCGTAGATATGAATTCTGAAAGAAGTATGAGGGTCTTGTATGACTTTGTACTTCTCCCAAAGTTCATGTCTGTCAAACTTACCTGCCATGGACTCTTTCATAAGTTCCATGAAATCGTCTTCGGACAATCCAGGGAAAAGTATAATGTCAGTAAGTATTCTTTTAACATCCTTACTTAAACTCTTTGCTGTCTGTACACAAATGACAACTGAGATGTTAAAGTGTCTGAGCTTCTTAAGAATTCGACACATATCTTGTTCTCTATTCTTTAACAAAGGATGAGAGGCGAAATCATCTAAAATAAGAAGACACCTATGAGGGTAAGTCTTCCAATCGTAAGATTGCAATTTCTTCGAAATGTATTCTATCTCTTTCTGTTTGTTTCTGAAGTGTTTCTTCTCTAATATTCTCTGCATTTCCTCATTTGGGTCTTTAAACTTAGAATTTATATACTCATTTATAGCATTATACTTCAAAACTCTTCTTTGGTACTTCTTTATCCAATCTAACAACTCAGAGTCTTTTATACATACTAACTTAGACTTCTTTATAATATCTTTGAACGAATTGACGGTTTGGTCAAATTGACCAGAAGTACTACAAATCACTAACTCATAAATGGGTTCTTCTCATCTAGTTCTTGTTGTTGTGCAGCCATTTTAAGATAAGTGAAAGTCTTACCCGACCCAGGTGGTGCAATTAGACCTGTTATACCATTCTGAGCAAATAAGAACTTGTCATGTATAGGTTTTATCTGAGCATTTTCTAACTTCCTCTTGTTCTTGTTTAAAACATTCTCAAATTTCTTGTCAATGTCAGCAAACTTTTTTTCTAACATATTTTAGAAAAATTAAAATTTTTATCTTTTAGAAAATGTCTAGCGATTTCGCTATCTATATTCGAGACAAGCTTTTTGACAGCAAAACATCTGTCGACCATAAAATCTTACATAGTGTAAACAAGAAAGGTGAATTTGTTCTAAAGTTCTGTTTCTGGGAATATGACAAGAACCATAAAACATTACAAAGAGCAGTCTTAAAATTTGTCAATGACAGACTTGTTGACAGAGATGACACCGATTGGAAAGATGAAGTCCAACAAAAGTTCTTAGAATGCAAAGAAGACACATGCGCTGTTCTTGAAGATGAAATAGAAAACAGAATAGAAGAGCTATTAAAGGACAAAGAACTTTTACATAAATATGGTTGCGCCATTTGACATAACTCCACCAGAGAAGAAGAAGAAGAAGAGAGAAAGAAAGAAAAAAAGAAAGTAGAAGAAGAGAAAAAGAACCTGAACCAGTTCCAGAGAAAAAGAAATTTGACATGTAAAAATAAAATTTTATTTTTAGAACATTTCTGGGTCAATGTCAATGTTCTCTTCCTCTTTAGGAGCAAACACTGGCTTAGACTCTAAAATCTTTTTACCCAATTTACCTTGAACTTCAACTATCTTAGACTCATAATATTCATAGTCGTCTGCTTTCTTTGGTTCATAAGGTATAACAAGTTTGTATGCTTTGCCTTCTTTAAGGTTTGAAAACCTTCTGTCAAAATTTTCCTTGACTGTTAACAAACCTTCTATGTCTAAGTCTTCAAATTTCGCACCATTTTTAGTCACAATAGCAAACTTAACTGGTTCGATGTTCCAAACTTTGCTGAATGAAGACTTTTCAAAATGGTAGAAGTAAACATTCAAATATGTGAATGGGTCTAGTTCTTCTTTAAGTCCTGACATGTACTTGTTGACTGAGATGAATTTCATCATCTTTTCTATCGGATAAAAAAATATTTTTTTTTAAAATTTACTCAGAAAAATTTTTCTTTGTATATACACCATTCTGAACATCTAAAAGACTTTTGACATTTGCCAAGAATGTTCGTTTAGACGCTGTCATATAACCATACTCTTGACAATACTGTTTATACGAATCGTACAATGACCTTTCATCTAAACACTCAAAGTCAGTTTCATCTATAAACAGTTCATAAACACTCTTGTTTGCTTCTAACAATGTTTGTCTCTCTTCGGTATGTGGAATTTGTCTTGGATTGAACTTAGAAATATCTAATGTCATAAAATATGAGAACAAGTGGTTGTAAAAGTCAGATGTCAAAGTTTCTGCCAAAGCGTCAAAATATTCTGTATCTTGCATATGAGAATCTGACGTTCTGACAACTACATATCTTCTGTCAGAACTTTCTAACTTCATCGGAACGGCGTTGTTTGAAACCATAATGAAATTTGCAACATTTTCACAAACTCTTTGGTCTTTATATTTTCTTTCAACAACTCCAACTTTGTCTGTTATAAGACTCTTCAAAGCATCTGAGTTTAAAACCTTTGTTGTATCTATACTTTGAAGTTCGTTACATACTATAAGTTTCATATTCTCTATTGAGGAGTTAAATTTACCGCAGATGTTTTCTAAGTTTGTCATATTCGGGTTCGAATAGCCCTCTAACAGTTTGCACAAAATATCTGTAAAGAAAGTGTTCTTACCTGTTCCTTGTTTTCCAATTACAATGAGAGCAGTTTCATTTTTAGCACTTGGATGTTGTAAGATGTTTGCAAACCAACATAAGATATACTCATAGACTCTTTCGTTTCCATTGCATATAATTTCTTTGACATGGTCTAACCAAGCTTCTATAACATTTTCTTCCATTCTACTTGTTCGTATTTATATCCAGTGAAGATAGAATAGAAGTTTGGAGAAGGTGTATAAACTTTATACCACGAACTGAAAAATCTTCTAACTTTGACAATAAGATATCCCAAGCATCTAACATCTTCATACCAACTTGTACAACTTTTATTTTCTTAAGTTTCTGTTTACATTCTTGTTCTGAACTATGGTTGCTCTTGGTTTGTTAAAGACAACATCCCATTCTTTCATAACATAACATTCTGGGGCAGAGTCGACATAAATGACTAAACGTTTCAAATTCTCGACTGCTTTGTTATAGTCTCGAAATGGACACATATTTCTGAACGCTTGGAAGTCATAAAAATCTGAAACGTCTATTCTGTACATTTTTATAAAAATAAAAAAAAATATTTTTTTATTCTTGACTTTGTTGTTGCATTTGTTCCATTTGTTGCATTTGTTGTTCTTGAGCTATTTGTTGTTGAAGTTGTTCTTGTAGTACAATACTTTCACCAGTTGCATCTTCCAATTCGAAACTTTCTGCCGTCATTGACAAATACATAGGACATAAAAGTTTTACAGGAACAAAGTTTGCGTCAACTAAGGTTAAGTTTATGTTGCTAAAGTGTTTGAGTTCACTAAAGCTGAAAACTCTGCATTCGAATGAACAATAGGCAAACCAGCAGAGAAAGTGTTGTTTATATACGCATGAGTATCTTTTGGTCATAGTAGTTCTGTCAACATCGAATAGCACTTTGAACCTAAGTTTGAAAACAATATATAAAATAGGTGTACTTAAAGTCAATGGAACAGACATTCCTTGTATGACACCTTTTTCCTGTTATAGGAAACTGTTGGTAGTAAAAACCAGAAATAAGTTTTGTATTATAGCTCATATTGTTTATTAGTAAACTCAGTCGGACATCCAAACATAATGAAACCTGCTCTAGTTGCAGCACATGTTACACTCGTTCCTTAAAGTATTAAATAAGTCAACAAAACCTGTTTGGTGGTATTCTGAGTAAGTATCTTCAAAGAAGTATTTTTTACCATTCACAACAACAAAGTCTTCTGGTGTCAAAAGAAGCAAAAAGGCTTTAGTCGTCATTGTGTTTAAGGTTAGTTTACAAATATCGTCCTTGAGGACTTTGTAAGTTTGTTGTTATAGAATTATATGACTCAGGGTTTTTAGTCGTAATAGTATAAACACTATGTCTTCTGCCATTTACATAATTTAAGTTTTTCTGAAAGTGGAGAAGAACTTCATCTAAACTTTCACATGGCGTTTCTTGAAGTTCTCTGTCTAGAAGTTCAAATATTTTGTGTAAAGACATAGAACTTTCCTTTGTCTACACGAACAAACAAAACAGGGTCTTTCATATCGTTCAAAAGTGTGTAAAGTCCTTTACATGAAATAAAGTCTATATTGTTTTTCTTCAAACATCTTTCAAGAAGTTTTGCCATTTACTTAGCAAATAAATTTTAATGAAATGTTGTGGTCGTCAAATATTTTTATGACGTCTGGGAAACTATTTTTAAGTTCAACGTTTCGCCTCCTTTCATAACGTATATCTTGTCAATGACATTATATGAAACACCACAGCAAGCAATGTCGGGTTCTATTTCTTGATGTTTATATCGTCTGCCTCTGTCAAAAGTTTCAATAGTTCTTTCAAAATTTCATGAGGTGCGATGACATATGAGTTCACTTTTACAGGGTTGTGCTCAACCAAGTTTAACATTATACCCAAAGCTTGACAAATCTTCTCCTGAGTTTTAAGTTTGTCTTTAAGTTTTGGTAGTCATTTCGAATATCTGCAACAGAACTTAAGTCTCTGCTAACTTCAGGGTATGTTGGTTGTTCTTTTACAGGAACTATTGTTATACCATCTTGGTCTTCGTATGGTTTCCCCACTTCAACATCTCTTTCTTTGACATTGACAACAACACTTTGACTGTTTGTTTGAGTTGGTGAATTTAACTTCACATCTGCCACCGCCATTAAACCTTTTGAAACACTTACGCTTCTATTTTTCGGAAATGACATTTTACTTAGAATAAAAAGATGGACGTATTTGAGTATCTCTTCGAATTGAAGCAAAACAAAGTTTACACACACAAACAATACAGTTCATTGATAGAATAGTTCTTTACACAAACAATGGAAATGTTTATAGAATATAGCAGTCTTTGCTGAACCAAAATATTTTCATAAAGCAAAGAAAGTTGGTATAACCGAGATGGTGAAAGTTCTTGAAGCAGACAAAAATATAACAACAAAACTGACCGATATTTCTAAAGGTAAGTTTATAATACAATATTATGTCAAAACTGGCGTACTGTCAATATTTGACGGAGAGAAGTCAGTTCAAGAACAACTTACTGACCTGCTGCCAAAATCTGCTCGATGGAAGCTGTCGTTATGCCAATCTGAGGAGCCCCAGCAGGTTTCATCGAACGAATCTTCAAAAGAGCATCTTCCGTGAAAAGTGCTATTGGTTTTGTAAACTTCTTTGCTCTCAGTTCATCTGGACCGTCTCTGTCACCAGTATATTGTATTTGAACTGTACCAACAGTTGAAATACCACCCATAAAGTCTTCTGAGTCAGCAAATGGAATGCCAAGCCAAAAGTTTGAACGGTCTCCATTTGTATATTGAGTTTTTTGACCTCCTGTATGAGTCCATACTTTCACATATGGCATAATAGAACTTTGCATTTCAGGGTTAATGGTTGTTGTGAAGTTGTTGTTAAAGTTCATAGCATCTAATGTCAAGTTGTATGACCTCATATCCTCAACTGTAGAATATTCTTCTCTTGGATAATATTTGCCATCTATGTTTATATGATATTTAATACCAGGGTTGTAGAAACAAGAATAGTCATTTATAGTTCGTCTGAACAGTACAAACATAGTATCTGCATGTTTCATTGCAGTTGTTAAAGCAATATCTGTTCTTGCACCTGGGTCAGCACTTTGGTTTCCAACTTCACCTGCAAAGTCTTTGACAGATATTTGGTGTATAGGGAACATAAGTGGAACTGCAATATATTTGGCAGCTAAAGCATTTGAAATATCTGGGTCCAACATATAGACTGCAAGTCTGCTTTCTATTCTCTTGCATTCAAATTTTTTCGCATGTGAACTTAACTGGGTCCCAAGCAGTTCCAGCAGCATTGAAGTAGTAGTTTACTTCAGTGTTGAAGTTTGAGAAACCAAAGTCTAAGTCAACTTTGTCTTTGCAAAAGTCACAGAACTTGGCTCCACCAGTTCCAGCTACAGTAAGAGTGAATGGGTCTTGTGTTGGTGCAATGACTAAGTTATTTTTGCTTGGAGTAAGTTCGATAGAAATTTTTCCTGCCCAGTTTGGCAAGTATCTTAAAAACCTGAAGATGAGGAAAGATGACAAAGGAACTCTAAGTTTCAATTTTACTTTGGTTACTGCTGCTGCAGTTTGTCCAGAAAGGTCAACATAAACTCCTGGAACGTTAGGGTCAAGTCTTCTTATTTTCTCAATAGTTGCATACTGGTCTGTTTGTTCTCTAGCTTGTGGTTGTACTGAGTTTCTCAAAGCGAACCATTCATAGTTTGCCCATGTTACTGTTTGAACTAAGTCAGAGTTAGAATATATCTTATATCCCATGAAAACTTCTGGAGCATATTGGTATCCGACATAGAAAATTCCATTGCAACCTTTCTTGTCAGACAACTTGGCAGAAGGTTTTATTTCAATGTCTTGTTCCACGTATAAGAAAGAGTTGTCAATAGAAATTATATGAAACCTGTCGCAAGCAATATCTACTGTTGTTGAAGAACCTTCTCCAAACTCACCTACGTTTCCATAAGAAACAGCAGTTGTATATTCGTAAGTTCCAGGAACTATTTCTGACCTTCTAATGGCATTGTCGCATTCGTTATACCATTCGGAAACATTTCCATTCATAGCATCCAAAACTGTTGGCGTTATATTCTGAGCGGCGTACATTTCATATGAGTAAAAATATAGAATAGTTGGATTTATATGTCATAATAGAACCCACGTGGACCAAGCTTTACTTTCTTCCTGACTGAGTTTTTAACTCTTCTTTTTCCTTCATTGCCCTCTGCTTGAAGTTGTTGCATCTTTGCATTATGTTCATCTAGTATGTTGCAAATTTCCCATGTCCTTTTTGCCTTTTGGCTCTGGTCGCCCATCTCAGGTAACCTATATCCTAGAAAGATTTTGTCATAGTCTGTATTTGAGTCTTCGCGTATTGTTTGCATGACTCTTTCCTGAGTTTCCGGTTCAAGCTCTTCAAATATAGCTTGTCCATATGGAATATGCTCGTTTCCAAATATATGTTTTTGTAGCCATTCTGGTTTTCTTTCCATGTTACCAACTATATCTTTTGTGAATGGGAAAGCTTTTACCCAATCTTTCAGTCTTGCGTCGTTTATTTCTGTAGTTGGTTTTATTTTGTCAAGGAACATGTTTTTCAATACTAACATTTCATTTGGTACTGTCCATTTGAGTTTACTTAAATATTCATCCCTTCTCGGTTCATTGTCTGCAAAGTAAGTTTTTATGACATTTTGTAAACTTTCGTTTGCAAGGTCATGTACAATAGGTTCTCTTCCTTCTCTATCCCTAACTTTCTTTCTAAACTCTTCACCAAATATACCATCTTTATGGTTCTGTGTAGTTCTTTGAGATAAATGTTCTAGAACGTCAGGTGTTATATTTCCATCAGCCATGTTCATTTCATACTGGTCCAAAATATCTGCATGTTTCATATCTTTCAATGGCATTAAAGCCGCGCTGAAAATACCAGCTATATCTGGTTCACCATTGACTTCCATTGCGTCTACAACTTCTTGGAATTGTGGTTGTAAGTTTATGAACCACCTATCCGGATTAGCTTTATGACCCCATCTCATTGTAGTTCCATCGTCTGCAGAAACAAAAGTAGGTTTGTTTCCATCTTGGTTAGGTTCTGAATGAACTTTAAACAATGTTTCATTTCTATATGTTTTCTTGAAATTTAACCTTTTATTTTCACCGAGTTCATCCGAAGATTGAACGTTAAATGCTCGTAAGTAAAAAGGGTTGTTGTATTTGTGTACATTTTTTTTCAGTTCTTCCATTCTATGCTGGATATTTTCATCTGATGTTGGAGTCTTTTGTATGTCGGCAAACATTTTTCGATATTCTTCTACTATGTCAGCCGAATTTTTTTTAGACTCTTGGAAATATTCCATATTCTCCGCATACTCTTGTTGAGGGTCAAGATTTTTCGGCTGTTCCAAATCTTCATCTAGTTCTGTGAAGTTAGTTTCCAAAGGAAGGACTTGTTCGTTTCCTTCAGGCTCTTCTAGCTGTTGTTGCTGAACTATTTCTTCCATGTCTGGTTGTATCTGAACTTCTTCCTGTGGAGTTTCTTGTACCTCATCTGCTGGCATTTCATATATTCCGAGACCGTTTTCAACAATTTCCCTATCTACGTCATCCGCATTCATAAGCTTTTGTTCTTTCGTTCCGTCTCTATTTTTTACGCGTTTCATGACGAAAGTTGAATTGTCATTTAGCTCTGACATCAAATATCTCGGAGTAAATTCATCCATGTCATTTGGATGATATGCTATTAAATCATATCCCTTAGCGAGCTTGTATTTTCCAGGTTTGAGATTATATCCGTTTTGGTGCTGAGCCATAAAGCTAAATAGGTTCGGGTCAGTATTTCCATCCTTGAACTTTCCAATAGCTTCTTTATATCTGTCACTAAAGTCAACAGTATCTGGGAAACCACACTCTTCTTTAAGCATTTTTAAGAATTCTTGGTTTCCTTGTTCTCTACTTCTTTTATGTCCTTGCTCTGTTTGTGGTTGTTGTTGTGCAGGGTTTTGAACTGTTGGTTGCTGTGCTGGTTGTTGTGTTGGTTGTTGTGCTGGTTGTGGAGGTGGTTGTTGTGCTGGTTGTTGTGCATGCCTGTGTCTGTGTCCATGTGACGATGTAAATGTTCTAGGTAGTCCTGGTGCAGGTGCTTCTCTTGGAGGGTTTGGTGGTATATAAGTTCCACCAGCTGGCACATATGTTCCATCTGCAGCGTAATGTCCTACCTGACTTTTCGTTTTTAAGAAAGCATTTACTAGGTCTGTTTTGGTCTGTTGTAACTCTTTTTCTTGACTTTTCACAACAGTTGCTCTAACGGCGTCATAGGCACTTTGAACTGCCTGTCTCGTTGCTGCATCTGTTATTTTCGTCATATTTTGTGCTACTTCTTTTAACTCTTTGTCGAAACCTTCAGACTTCAGTTTCTTTCCAGATGAGAAGTCGTTCACTTGTTTCACCTTACTATGAAGAGCTTCGAAAGCGTTCTTAAAGTCAGCATTTGTTAAAGCTTCATTTGAACTATCTTCATCCGCTTGTATTTTTGTCCTTATTGACCCTATAAGCTGGGCTGCTTTAGCGTTGGCTTGGGCATCTAACCAGTCATTATTAGCTTTTATATATTCTGCGCTTTTCATTGCCTTTTGCATGGCTGCGTCGTTATTTTTACTTTCTTGTGCTAAGTTTTCATACTGTACGGTTTGGTTTTGCAACTGTAAAAGTTTTTCTGCCTTTACATTTGCTTCAACTTCTTTTTTATACTCATCGCTATCCATATATGTCTTCAGGGCTTTTTGTTTTATCTCTTCATCTTTCAGTATTTTATATTGAGTAGTATGGTTTTTCAAATTTATGAATCTTGTTCCATTTTTGCTACTTCTGCTGCTTTTTCTGACACTTTTTTCGCATATTCCTCTGTACTTAGTTCTTTCAGTTGTTCTTCTTTCTTCTTTTTCTCTACGTTTAACTCATTGAGTTTCTTTGTGTGTCTGTCATATTCTAGTTTCTTTTCGTTTTCACTTATTTGCTTCTGTATGTCTATGTTTGACTTTTTGACATCTGTTATTTGATTTTTGAGTGAACTCAAATTCATTTGACTTTGAGGGTTATAAGCTGTTCCGTCTGCAGCTCCACCATAGCCTGCCATTTTCGCTAAAAGTGCCGCTCTTAAACCTCCACTCTGTGCACCAATAACTCGGTTTAAAAGCATAGGGTTGCTTGACATTTGTTGCAACATAGTGGGGTCATTCATCATTTGTTGTTGCAACTGTTGTTGTGGTGTCAGTTTTACTATTGGATGTTTCAATGCTCTCTTCCTCTTACGTATATTCTTACGTAGCTTACGTGGCATTTTAAGTGAAGTAAAAAACGGTTTTTGACAGATGTTTATATGACACTTTTTGTTCAGCACAAAAAACTACTCGGTCAAAGTGTTGTCAGTTTTGTAAAATAACCGTCCTATCTTGTTTTAAAAGGGAGAAAAGGCTTCTCAAAGTATACTTCCTTGGAACGCCTGTAACTTTTCCTGTAGCGACGATAGACCCTTATTTGTCCGGACAAAGTTATACTATTTTGAGTGCTCTACAAAAAAGTCAACGGCGACGACTCTCAAAAACCGTTGTGTAAAAAGTTTTACCGTTGGACAAAAAGTATATATAGAAAACAAAAAACGTTTATAGTTCATTCAATATTTGAGATGGAACGGTTTGCCAACGGAGACTTTTCAATAAAATAAAAAATAGAGGGGGTTACCGTTGACGAAAACGGTTCATCTCAAACTCTTATTTGAAAAAATAAAGTGGTCGGTTTTTTTCACTTCATTTTAGCTCAATGTCATACCAAGACAGTAGCGATTCCGATTCAACTATCCAGGAAGAGGATTGTCATCCTCCACGGTCACTCCCAGTCCCAGATGACACTCCAAAGACTCGCTTTGACCCCGAGCAATCTAACTTCCAATTGCGCCAACAATTGCAGTCAAAAGCTGATGAATACATGGCTTCTTCTATAGAAGAAAGTATAGAACAGACCTCAGAGTATTCTACAGCTCTTGGTCAACTAGTTTCGGCGACAGTCCAATTCGAACAAATTTGTTCGAATTCAATTCAATATGCAGACGAACTTGTCCGCTATTGTCCCACTCTTGTAAGAGTACTTCAAGAACGACTCTTCAACCAGTTGCTTCCTACCTTACGCAGCCCAATTCAAATTCAATTTGCCCGTGCAGCCATAAACTTCACTCCGTACTCGTACAGCTATGATGAGGATGAACTAGCTGACGAGTACGGAGCCGAAAATGTTGGCTGGGTTTTTCGCACAACTCCTTGCGAATTCCAAGTTGAAATTGTCAACCATTTCCTCGTTCGTACTATTTCGTTGCAGAATGAAGACAACGAAAAAGATGGAGTCATTCCAGGTGACCGTGTAAGAGTCATTTTCCAACGCAAAAGTGGACAAGAAATTGTATTCGAAGAATTGGTTTGCATATTCTTTAGCAATGGTCAAGACTACTGGGAAGGAAACTTGGTATTAGTCCCCGGTGAAACCATTTCTGTTTCATCGGATTTGAACCATCCATACAAGATATGGTTCAATTACGTTGCATATAACGCAGAAGACCCGAACTTTGACTCAGAATAAAAACTTCATTTATACTAAACATCTTCAGGGCTAGAAGGGGCGCAGCCCCTGGAAGCCCCACTACCTTTTTTTTTTTTTTTTTTTTTTTTTTTCGTTGTTATTTGCTAGTAGTTATGGTAGTTTTGAGTCAATCAGATTGTAGCAAATCACTTTTAATCTAGAAAGATAATGAGGATGCTGATTATGCCTCCGCCTATTTGCAGAATGACCATCTCATTTTTATTCGCCACAACAAAATCTAAAACGGCGAGACTTAAATATGATTTTATTAAAAACTTTAAAATCATGACTGTAAGAATTGATAATTGATAATGTTTTTTTTTCTTGCTATAGGGTGGAATTGAACAGGAGTGTTCGGTTTGATTGAATTAGTCCCACACGAAGATGAGGCGTACACTACCGCCCATCGATCCAGGATACTTTGACAAACCGAAAATGAGTGCAATTGAGCTGATGGGGACTCAGATTGATGAAATTCCTCGAAAACCAGATTTAATTCCTCAAATATCACGTGCAAAAATGTCCAAGTGTCAACTGAAGCATTTACCGAAAAGCCTAGATGCATATCATTATATCAAAATATTGGACCTTTCCGAAAATGAAATTTCTACAGTTGACGAATCCGAATTCTCTGGATTAATCATTTTACAATACGTTGATTTGAGTTTAAATCTACTTAAAACATTATCCCCATCATTACCAACCACCATCACTCATTTGGATCTCTCATTTAATCCAGGTATCTCGACCGAATCAATTTGGTCACTACGCTTACCGAAACTTGAAACTTTGAGAATCACCCATTGCTGTTTGACAAGTCTTCCGTCTAATAGACCATTGTGGGCTGATTCATTGCACTCATTAGCTCTTGACGGAAATTCATTTACTTCAGTTCCCAAATCAATCGAGTATTTTGTAAGTCTTGATGAGCTTACATTCTTTGGAAACAATTTCACGCAATTTCTTACAATGAATCCAGTTCGCCCATTAAAAGTTTTGAATTTTGTTCACAACATGATAACCAGCATTGAAGATACGATCCCCAACAAAATACAAACACTATACCTCAATTACTGCCCTCTAAAGCAAATTTATCCTTCTCTCCTCGCTATTCAAGGTCTGAGGGTTTTAATGCTTTCCAATACCGGCATTTCTGGAGAAATCGATGTTGCCCTTCCGCCTCAGCTCGCGATCATAGATTTGTCCTTTAATAATATTACGAAATTATCTTCGCAGTTTGTACAAAGCGCTGGATCTATTTCCGTAATAAATCTTGTCCACAACGAAATAGAGTATATTCCGGATGAGTTCCCTTCTCCTCTTTGTTTCTCGCAGATATTACTATCGAATAATCGTCTTAAAGAGCTTCCGAAGACAATGATGTCATCGAAATCGCTTGAGAGATTTTTCGTTACCCATAATCAGCTCACATCAATACCAGAATTCAGATTTCCACAACTTCGCGAATTTGATGTCAGTTTCAACAAAATTACAGAAATTTCGGACTCATTTAGCATATGCTCGTTCCTTGTTACAGCCAATTTCAGTTTTAACAAACTTACAGATCTACCGAAGACTTTGGCCACTTGCAGAAGGCTTTTAGACCTATACGCCAGCAGAAATGAGTTTAAAGCACTTCCTCGATGCATTTTTGGCTTCGCTTCATTAAGATGCCTTGTTTTGTCGTATAATCTTTTGACGGCTTTGCCTCCGCCGGTTGCATCGTTTTTCTTTCTGAAGACACTGGATTTGTCAAATAATAGATTCGTGACCATTCCGAAGCAAATTGAATCACTTCATTCGCTCAAAGTATTATCTCTATCTCATAACTCAATAGAAAAGATCGACCCTGACTTCAAATTCCCACCTCTTTTATCCACACTCGATTTGTCATACAATCTCATTCCGGAAATCAACTTTACTGGAACATTTTCTACAATGACTGCATTATCACTTGCCTGCAATAAATTAGTAGTCAGAGACCTCAATCCGTTCCCAATAATTCATTATTACTCAGATTTTGGAAACCAAATCAAAGAAGATCGTACAGATTATTCCAAACTACAAAACTTGCGAATTCTCGAAGAATTTGGCAACAAATTAGAACTACCAGAACCAAAGATGCACATAATGCATGCTAATTTCACCAATTTCCTCTCCGTTGGCTATTCGTCTTTCCTCGGGCCACGTCCAACCATGGAAGATGCCGTTTGCATTGACAGCCAAGGTAATGACAATATTCTCGTTGCCCTCTTCGATGGCCATGCAGGTTTCGAAGCAGCTGATCGATCATCTCATATAATCCGGGCCGAATACTCCAAAATCCTCGCCAGCGGGATTACAGACCCGAGTGATTTCAGCACCATGTTCTCCGGCGTCTTCGGAAACATCCAGGCCATGCTATCTGTCGAAGGAAGCGAAGGCGGTTGCACGGCCGCCATCGCAATGGTCGTAAAGAACAGAGTATACGCGGCCGGTCTTGGAGACTCGCGCGTTACTCGCATCACGAAAACTTCTGCTGTCAGATTAACTGTAGATGCTAAACCTATGGCCGTTGACGAGTACAGGAGGCTGAAGAAGGAAGGCCTTGGCGTCACAGTTGATGGCCGAATCAAGCGGAAACTGGCTGTTGCGAGAGCATTAGGAGATTTCTGGTGCGGAGAAGGCCTCTTTGTCATTCCTGATATTACCAGTTTCGAGATATCAGATGATGACGTCGGGTTTGTCGTCGCATGCGATGGATTGTGGGATGTGATGACAGATGAAGACGTCGGAGAGGTTGTCAGAGAGGCAAAGAATGCTGAAGACGCGGCAACTCTCCTGAAAAACACTGCTCTTGCACTTGGATCTATTGACAATGTCTCTGTTGTTGTCGTTTTGTTCAAAGAAGGAGGATTTGATCCTACAAATCTTGTAGAAAGGATACCTATCCTGCAGATAACAGAACCAGAGATTGAAGAACAAATTCCACAGATCCCGGCACCATCAGGAAGAAGAAGACGCTAAGTAATCCTGATTTTTATACTATTTTGTTATATTTTTTTAATTGTTTGTTGTTTTGTTAATATATATATGTATATTAAGTTTATGTCCTTCTTGTTGTTTCTTCAAAATAAATTGATTTATTTTTAGTTAACTAATTTGGAAAAAAATTGATTATTTTTATTCGAAAATCTCTTTTGGAATTTTATAATTAATAAAGAATAGGAAACTATCTTTGAATGTACCTTTTTAATCCCTGAGAGAAAAGAAATTTAAGATGGAAAATCAATATTTTGTTCTTTTTAAGCAAAATATGAATTTTTCTATCTTAAATATAAATTTAGTTATCAATAACCTAAAAGGAACATCCAAATAACATATTCATTAATGGCATATTTAATAAACAACTAGAAAACACAAATGTTTCGAGAAGATTCGATGCATTTTATGTGGTTGTAGCTTTGTTTAGAGTATCAGCTTTTTTTTGCATTTTTCGGATTTATCAACATTAGAGTAGGTGCCAAAAGTGCTTACTCTTAAACAACCGTCGGATTTCCGGGTGAAATCGTGACACACTTTCGTCTTTCGTAGGCGGTGGTGGTTGTTACAAAAGGTAACTTCGAATGTAGCGTGAAATCTGCAAAAAAAAATTCTGAAATTTGAATGGATAACACAAAAATTGAATAGTTTACGTCAATAAAAAAGAAAAAAATGAAGCCAATTTGTCTCGAACCTAGGACTTAGAGCAGCAATCCCACTGTTTATACCATTACACTACATGCATCTCTCACCTCAGTGAATGAGATCAACTATATGATAACCTTTTCCCCATTATATTCTTGTGGAAAAGTGACAAATAGCAACTTTGACCCTCTCTCAATGTTTCGAGAAGATTCGATGCATTTTATGTGGTTGTAGCTTTGTTTAGAGTATCAGCTTTTTTTTGCATTTTTCGGATTTATCAACATTAGGGGAATTTACAAAATAATTAATAATCTATTCATAATACAAAGTTTTAATAATAATGGTTATGTTTCAAGCCTATGGGATCAAATTTAAATAAGATTGCCAGGTAATAATTTCATTGTAGGATATTTTTAACATTAAAATTGTAATAAACAGAAATTCATCAAAAGTGACAGCTCTCAATTTTTTGACATTTGTAAATTCTAAATTGAATGAGAAAAATGAAATAATACTAAGCATAATACAATATTCTAGATTTAATTATAATTAGGAAAAAGTTAGTTTTGAGAGTACTTTTCATAGGCATATAGAATGAAATCTTCTGAAAAATAATATCACATAAACTCATATTATTTTCTAATCTATAACTATTTTATATAAAAATCAAATTCAATGATCTTAAAAGCGAAGGATAAACCTCAAAATTTACGAATATAATGAGTGGGAATATAATGCTTATCTATCATAAAACCATATGAAATATCAATTTTTGCTTTACGCCTAATTTTTGACGACAATTAGCAAAAAATGTTAAATGTTAACACTCAGTCCATTTGAATATGAAAAATAAAATTGATTTTGATTAAATGTTTTTATTTATCATGCAATTTTCTTGCGACCAAAGATTTGAATAAAAGTTCAAAAATAAGATAGCTTAAAAAATAATATACGGTAGTGTTTACTAATAGATGAATAGTATATAAATTCTATTAAAATGGATTTGATCCAAAAAAATATATAAAATTTGATCATAAATAAAATCGTTTTAAATTACTTCTTCATTTAAATTATAACAATTATTTTTGGTTTTATATTTTTTTGGATCAAATCCATTTTAATAGAATTTATATACTATTCATCTATTAGTAAACACTACCGTATATTATTTTTTAAGCTATCTTATTTTTTGAACTTTTATTCAAATCTTTGGTCGCAAGAAGAATTGCATGATAAATAAAAACATTTAATCAAAATCAATTTTATTTTTCATATTCAAATGGACTGAGTGTTAGTAGTAGTATATGACGGGTTGTGTGACCTTTTTTGTAAACGTAAGAATTCATACAATATTGAATGATTTTGTATCATTTATTTTAACATTAATTTTAAAATAATTTATTTTATTATTCTTACATAAATGACCCAACAAGTAAAACCTGATAAAGTGGATAATAAAATTCATGTCTTACGTTTTTGAATAAATGAGGGGGTAACCGGGTAACCGGGTTAATTAACTTCTTTTTGACAACACAGGAGGATGGCAGTTATGAATTATTTTTGAAGAACTGAAGGTGTCACTATGTCACCATGTGTCACTCGGTTATTTAACTTCTTTTGAAAATGGTGACAACATGACATTTCGACAACAGGGGCAAAAATTAATGTCTTACATTTATGAATAATTTATTTTTTTATTCCTACAATTCCTATATTACCATTAATAAAAAGAATAATATCTGATTTTGAACATTATTTGATTGATTTACTAATTGATCCACAAAGCTGTTGTAAAATTAATTTTGAATTTAAAATTAAAGGAACCGTAAATTTTGTATTTATTTATCACTTAAAAGAATATGACCGATATCATAATTTGATATATGAAACTAATATAATATTTGAAGATAACAAACTTACAAGCTTCGAACATGAAAAAAAGAAAGAGATTGAAAAGCAATTCAATGAATGCCTTTTAAATACATATGCGCACATTATAAGACATAAAATGAAATTAATTCCTTATTAATCAAAAATATTTTTTATCTTTATATAAAGATGACAAATAGAAAATTTTTTATTTTTATTTTATAATAAATGAGTATAACAACTAATTCATTGAAATCTTTAAAGTTCACTAATTCAGAATTAGAAAAGAGTGGGGGACAAACTCGCCCATTGTCACTTTTTCATTAACCTTAAACTTGTAATTTTCATTATTTTTAATTAACCTTATTTCTTTCCCAATTCCTGATTTATTTTATTCACTTACTATTAAAAGTCACATTTTAATAAAATATAATAATTTATTTATAGCATTTTTACTATACTGTAATAAAAATTAATTATAATAAATTAAATGTTTATTAAATCAAATGTTTTCTTTGCAATAATATTTTTAATGTTGAGTAAACAATGTTGGATCAAGTGTATCATTTTTCAGACCTTTCTGAACAGCTTCAAGCATACTGATGCATTCGACTTTTTTAAATTGTGTCATTTCTTCGAAATCTCTTGTGACTTTTTTGATAACTTTAACACTTCTCTCTGAATCCAGACCTTTAATTTGCAACTTAATCAGGAATGAAGGAACAACACTGGAATATAACTCGATGACAAGTTCATCGAGTCGAAGATTTGGTTGTACACCACTTGTATGTGCCGGATACCATTGTGTCAAATTTTTTCTGAAATTAACTTTAAAAGTACTAAGTAAGATCATGAGATATAGCAATATAGTTTAAACCAACTTATATTTTGGTTGTACACCACTTGTATGTGCCGGATACCATTGTGTCAAATTTTTTCTGAAATTAACTTTAAAAGTACTAAGTAAGATCATGAGATATAGCAATATATGTTTAAACTAACTTATATTTTGGTTGTACACCACTTGTATGTGCCGGATACCATTGTGTCAAATTTTTTCTGAAATTAACTTTAAAAGTACTAAGTAAGATCATGAGATATAGCAATATATGTTTAAACTAACTTATATTTTGGTTGTACACCACTTGTATGTGCCGGATACCATTGTGTCAAATTTTTTCTGAAATTAACTTTAAAAGTACTAAGTAAGATCATGAGATATAGCAATATATGTTTAAACTAACTTATATTTTGGTTGTACACCACTTGTATGTGCCGGATACCATTGTGTCAATTTTTTTCTGAAATTAACTTTAAAAGTACTAAGTAAGATCATGAGATATAGCAATATATGTTTAAACTAACTTATATTTTGGTTGTACACCACTTGTATGTGCCGGATACCATTGTGTCAATTTTTTCTGAAATTAACTTTAAAAGTACTAAGTAAGATCATTTATTTTTGCATAATATAATGCCAATATGGTTTCTTTTGATTTTATTTCATTTATAAGCAAATCAGATTTACCCAAAAACTCCACTCCATAAGCGTTCATTTGCTAAATTAAAAAGTGACAATGGGCTAGTCTGTCCCTTTCTCATTAGAAAATATTTTAGAAAATTTTGGAGACGGTTCTTATCCAACATATATGCAGAATGTGAAAGAGTTTTCCAGATTGTTGAATGAATTTAAATATAACGGACTAATTACTAAAAAGGCTATAATGAGATATTTATATCCCAAAAAAGTTGAAAAACAGGAGAATATTCCTCTTTATGGTCCAGAGGACCTGGGCTCAGAGAGCCTTGAAACACCTCCTGAATATTTTGAAGAACGAATTAAACAAGATGAATATTATAACGATGAGATTGAGAAATTGGAACAATTAAGAAATGAAATAGATGAAAGAATTAAGGAATTAAGAAATGCTGAGAATGAAGTAGAGGGTTTAATGAATATCCCAGCTTCAGAATCAGAAGTTCAAAAATCACATGAGGAAAGATATAAAAATTACTTTTTGGAATCAACTAAAAATTTATTAGATGGTGATATTGACGAAACACTTTCAGAAGAAGGCACAAAATTTATTCATAAACATAAGTTACAATTTATTGACGATGGAGATTATCCATGTATATTACTTTCACCTCCTCTTGATTCTGAAAAATTCAAAAAAGCACTGAAAAATGTAACATATGCAACAAATACGATTAAGAAAGAAGACCATGATATTTACACAAATTATTATTTAAATAAATGTACAGGTGTTGATAAAGTTTTTGATTTGTTAGATAAAATATCAAAAGAAACAATTGGTACATATAAAATTTTATGCGATTGTGGTTTCATTGTTGAAGATACCGTTGATGTTTCATATGAAAGAACAGCTCCGAAGGAGGACGAAGTGGAAAGATCTATTCCATTCGTTATTAAGAACATAAAAGATATGAAAACCTATAAACATTATATT